CTGGCCACATGCACAAGAGCTGGCGGGTTCAAATCCAGCCTGGGCCTGCCAAACAACCATGACAACTACAACCAAGAAATGGCTGGGCACTGTGGCAGGCACCTGTGGTCCTAATTACTTCGGAGGCTGAGGCAAGAGAATCGCTTAAGCCCAGGAGTTGGAGGTTGCGATGAGCTGTGATGCCACGGCACTCTGCCCTGGGCAACAGCTTGAGGCTCTGTCTCAAGAAAAAAAAGAAATTATATAAACACACATTTGGGGTTTTTTTTTTTTTTTTTTGAGACAGAACCTCAAGCTAATCCCCTGGGTAGAGTGCTGCGGCATCACAGCTCACAGCAACCTCCAACTCTAGGCTTAAGCGAGTCTCCTGCCTCAGCCTCCCAAGTAGCTGGGACCACAGGTGCCCACCACAACGCCCAGCTATTTTTTGGTTGCAGCCGTCGTTGTTGTTGTTGTTGTTGTTGTTTTGGCGGGCCAAGCTTGATTCTAACCCGCCACCTTAGGTGTATGTGGCTAGCGCCTTAGCCACTTGAGCCACAGGTGCCAAGCCCACATTTGGGTTTTTTAGAGACAGAATCTCACTTTGTTGCATAGGCTGGAGTGCAGTTGCGGGGTCACAGCTTATGTAGCCTGAAACTCCTGGACTCCTGCCTGGACTATAGGCAAGGGCCATGACTGGTCAATTTTTCATTTTTAGAGACAGGGTCTCACTATATTGCCTAGGCCGGTCTTGAAGTCCTGAGCTCAAGCTACCCTCCTCCCTTATCCTCCCAAAGGGCTGAGACTACGGGTGTAAGCCATGGATTCCAGCCCTCCTTTTAGGTTTACACATGCTCGCTCGGAGCAGTAGAAAGGGAACAGCCCCCTAATTTGCAAAAGAGAAGGCAGACTAGTCAAGTGATGCGCCAGGAACTAACAGAATTAGGAAGCAGGGTTTGAGGGGCCGGAACCCAGTCTTCCAACCTCACAAATCTTCCCGAACTTTCCAGAAGAGCATGAATTGGAAAAGTGTGGTCTTCCCCTTTGCCCTGTCGCATCTCTGTGGCTTAGGAAGGGCTGAGCACTCCAGCAAATTTCTTTATGTCCCTTTCTCCGTCCCAAGGCGTCCCCCACCTCGAGCTTGTCCGCAGATGACCCTTCCAGAGAAGGTCACCAGACGTCTGACCCTAAACGGGAGAGCTAGAAGCCTCCAACCCCAGGCCAGTAGGGGTAGAATTAGCGGATGTGGATTGGGTCGCAGCCCCAGGAGGGCCGTCTGGACCCCGCAGGCGGAGGGAGGGCAGCTGGGGTTGCCCAGCCAGAGGGATGTGGATTGCGCCTTAGAAGGGGGTCCTGGGTCACTCCCCCTATCCTCAGCACCCACCTGCCGGTTGCGTACAGAGCCAAGAACATCCTCCAGGACATACTTTGAGGTCCCTGACAGCCGCACCCCGTGCAAATCTAGACCCCGAACCTGTGGTCACCCAAGACACTGGACACATCGCAGCCTGGGCTGAAGACCCAAGGCTGCCTCAATTCGCAGTTTTGGGACACCACACCTCTAATCTCGGATCTAAACCCTAATCCTTGGTGTTCCATACCTCAGCCTGAGGTGCTCCCAACGCCCAGCCTGAGCCTGAGAGCAACTCACTCTCCCTCGAAAAGAGAAAAGAACATTCGACAAATTACTAACAATACTAAAGCCTGTTGATTGTTACTGTGCCCGGTTCGGTATCGAGCGTTACCCGCGTTGTCACCTAGCCAGCTCCACAGTCTTACAAGGGAAGTACTGTTACTCTACTCTACAGAAGCACAAACTGAGGCGCCCAGGTTACGTGATTTCACTAGACCACACGGATGAGAAGGGGGCGGAATCAGGCTCCCAGACCCGGGAGACCCACCTTGGACGCAGGAATCCCCTCCACCCCTCTGGGCCGTGGATACCCCCCAACCACTAACGCTGCGACCCCAGCCTGCAGACGCGGAAACCCCGCAGATCCAGAACCTTCGAGCCGGGGGATCGGAACGCCCGGGCGGCGGCGTCCGCATCCTTGAGCTGCAGTCTCCCCTTGGCCCCAGCGCATTTCCGGAGTCGGAGGCGGCACGGGGCAGAGGCACCCCGGGGTGCTCGGCGGGGCAGGGCGGAGCAGCGCAGCCTACCTTGCGCCTGCAGGCTGCGGATGATGTCCGCCCGGGGCAGCGGGTCGCGGTAGAGGCTCAGCATGTACGCCAGAGGGGACGGGGACGAGGGCTGCCCCCGCGCACGTAGGGAAACAGTGGCCACCGTCGCCGCGCCTGCCTGGAGCAAGGCCCACGAGGCGTGCAGGAGGAGGACTGGCACATGATGGGCGTGCATGGTGGGCTGCGAGCTGAAAGCAGCGCCTCCGCCCCTTATATCCTGGGCCCCCAGCAGCCGCCCCGCCCCCGCCCTTCCTCCCTCCCGGGCCGCTTTTGGATCTTACCACCCCCCCCCCCCCCCTTCCAGAGTAGGGGAGAGCAAAAGGAGTCCTGGAAGGAGGCCTTAGATCCGGGGACTGGGAATGGGCACCCTGGTCCCCTGCTCCCGTAAGTACTCAAGGCCTTGTTGCTGAGACAAAGCAAGTTTGTTCTGGCAAACTCCAGCGTCAGAACTGTGCTATTTATCCCCTGGGAATAAACAGCAGCTTCGCGTATTGAAGTGCTAGGGAAGACAGAGGACAGTCCTAGGGAAGACAGAGGACAGAACGGACGAGGATGAAGACTTCCTCACCAGAGAACTGAAGGTTCAGACACTGGAGGCCAGGCAGAGCTAATGGGATGATCCTTGTGGCATCAGGCTCTCCCCCCACAGGCACGTACCACTCTAGTGATTTCAGGAAAAATGGTGTTGGTTACCCACAGGCGGCAATCCCTGCCTGGGTTTCAGCTCAGGATCACTCACTTTCAAGTCTCTGGGTCCTGCTTTCCTTACTTATTTGCACAACAGTGATCTGGCCGTCCCTCCCTTCCAGGTGTAAAGCCTTGTTGGGCTGGAATTACTTTTAAAGAAATGTAAATCCCTGCCCCTTCTGTTTTCCTAAATACTGGAGGGCTCTTTCTCTTCCTAAGCTCCCCCCACCTAAGCTCCTGGTCCTTTCCTAGCCTTGGCAGCACCTTAGCAGCTGGCCAGCACTTACTGAGAGCTTACTACGTGCCAAGCACGGTGCTAAGTGCTTTACACACCTCAGCGTCTTACACTGGAGGCCTCTAGCTCCAAAGAACCACAGGCTCAGACCTGAGCAGGTGTTAGAAAATGGAAGGAGGGGGCAGTGCCTGTGACTCAAGGAGTAGGGCGCCAGCCCCATATACCGGAGGTGGCAGGTTCAAACCTGGCCCTGGCCGAAAACTGCTCTACCCAGCTCGGATCAGGCACCTGGGCTGCAGGCCACCAGGGCTTGGAGGTTCAGCTAGCCACCTGTCAGTTCTTTCAAGGTGACGCTGTCTTATTCCCTGATTCCCCTACAGTACATTTGGGACCTAAAGAATCTTAGTGAACTAAATAAATAAGTGGGTTTGCCTGAGAATAAGCATCACCTGGAGTATTTGTTAAACTATTGATTCCAGACCTTCCGACTTAGAACCTGGAGGAAGGGTGTGGTAATCTACATATTTAACAAGCACAGCAGGGATTCTTACCAAAGGACTTTGGAAAAGGTTCTTGTTTTGTTTTTTTGAGACAGTCTCATTCTGTTGCCCTGGGTAGAGTGCTGTGGCATCACAGTTCACAGCAATCTGAGACTCTTGGGCTCAAGAGATCCTCTTGCCTCAGCCTCCCAAGTAGCTGGGACTACAGACACCCACTACAACGTCCACCTAGTTTTTCTATTTTTAGTAGAGATGAGGTCTCACTTTTTTTTTTTTTAATAAATCAACAGACCTCCCTTCATCTTGCACTTTCTCTCTATTGTCTTTTCTTTTCTTTCTTTTTTTTGCATTTTTTGGCCGGAGCTTTCTTTTTTTGCAGTTTTTGGCCGGAGCTGGGTTTGAACCCGCCACCTCCAGCATATGGGGCAGGCGCCCTACTCCTTTGAGCCACAAGCACCGCCCAGAGGTCTCACTCTTGCTCAGGCTGGTCTTGAACTCTTGAGCTCAGGCGATCTACCTGCCTCAGCCTCCCAGAGTGCTAGGATTATAGGTATGAACATTGATGTTCTAATCTATAACCCATCTTCCTATTTGCAGTTTCTTCATCTATAAAACATGGCTGGAGATCAGTCCTCACATGTAGATTAAATGAAATGAAAGTAAATAAGTCTTCTCAAGTATTTTAAAGCCTATTGTAGAGAGGCACCTATGGCTCAAAGGAGTAGGGCACCAGCTCCATACTGGAGGTGGTCAGTTCAAACTGGGTCCTGGCGATAAACTGCAAAAAAAAAAAAAAAAAACCTGCTGTAATTGCAAAAGATTACACTTACAGGTGTTATCATGAGTGCTCCTTGGTTGTCATCTGACTTTCCCAGCCTGAGGGTTCACTGGCCAGAGACAGAAGCCACCTTCATCCAGGTTATGCAAACATAAATGAAACAGTGACAGATTGTGGCTAGTGCTAACCAGGACTTGGGCGCCTAAAATGACAACACAAGGGAGGTACAGGCTCAGCGCCTGTGGCTCAAGTGGCTAAGGCGCCAGCCACATACAACTAAGGTGGCCAGTTCTAATCCAGCCCGGGCCACCAAACAACAATGACGGCTGCAACCAAAAAATAGCCGGGCGTTGTGGCGGGTGCCTGTGGTCCCAGCTACTTGGGAGGCTAAGGCAGAAGACTCGCTTGAGCCCAGGAGTTGGAGGTTGCTGTGAGCTGTGATGCCAGAGCACTCTACGCAAGGGGACAGCTTGAGGCTCTGTCTCAAAAAAAAAGAAAAAAAAAAGAGAAAAACAAGGGAGGTACAGACAGCTAGACTGAGGTACAGGAGTCAGACTCACTGGAGTCAATTCCAGGACCATAGAGCTCCCAAATCACCATGTGTCCTGGAATCCAAGTGGTTCCTGTTTAAACAAGGAAATTCAGAACAGAGAAGCCTTGTCCTCCCAGACTGGGCAAGGAGTGAAAAATAGATGATATAACTCCTTTCCATAGTAGACCAGAGGCTTCCAGTATCCCTGCAGTATGTAGCCGGTAGTAGGTGGTCAGTAATGGCTTACTGGCCTTAAAATAGATTATAAATAAATTATCCATTTTATAAATTATAAAAACAGATAACATTTATTGGTCACCTATCATTAATTATTGCATTGATTTTATCATCGTTCTTGCTTCAGAAAGGAGAAAACAGAAACTCAGAGGGAACAAGGTAACTTGCTCAAAACTGCAAACAGAATCTGAAGGAAGGAAGGGCTGGTCTCACCCAAACCGAAGCTTTTTAGCCCCTATGCTTCCCCATGGCTGAGGGATGAAAATGTGCCTTCTACTAAAACTTTTTAAAAATTCTCCAAGTCTTGCCTTTCCCAGGGTCCAGCAGCTGCAGACAAAGCTCCTTTCTGATGTGTATTGGCTTAGGGCCATGTGGGAGCCTGGAATTTCTCTCTGACCAGCAGCGGAGCAACCACCTGACAGAGCCCCTGCATCTCTGAACTTTCTAGGGCTCTGGCACCCTGGAAGAGCCCGAATCTCTGTTTCCTCTTTGGGAGAGAAGCCAACAGTCATCTTCATTTTTTAAGGACCTTAGTTAGTCCAGGATCTGTTCCCAGCAAGTAAAAGCAGAAGTACCCTTTTCCCAAGCAGGGAATGACACCTTCTCACTTCCTCTGCCCCAGACAGACTGACCCATAGATTCCCTGACCTGGGAGATAACCTTTGAGGCCTTCCCAGCTGGCAGGAGGGTGAGGGCAAAGTCCCTCAGGGTTCTCAACTGCTTTTCTTCTGGCCCTTCGGGACCCTTTCTTGACATGAGCAGTAACATGTGACATGGTTAAGTGCTGAGACTCTGAGGTTGGGCCTTCTGGAGGCAGAATCAAGATCCTTCTCTGTCACTTCCCACCTAGGGATATTATACCAGTCACTTACTGTCCGGGAGCTTCTGCTTGCTCAGCTGTAAAGTGGAGATAAATAATAACATCAATGTGGCAGGAATTTAACAAATAGTAAATGTGTGTGAAGTACATAGTGCTTGTAGCATTTGCTCCTTCATTTATTCATTAAACAAATGCTACATGCTTATCTAGTGAGTCTGTGCAGGTTAACACAGAGCTAGATTCTCAGGGAGTCAAGGGCACTGTTCAGTGAGCCTTGTGTCCCAGCTGTGGTGCTGGCCACCTTCACGTTAGCCTGTGTAAGTAATTCCATTCACCCTTAACCGAAGCTATATGCAGTGAGGCATTTTAGAGATGGAGAAACTGATGTAGGGAGGCACCTGTGGCTCAGTGTGTAGGGCGCCGGCCCCATATACCAAGGGTGGTAGGTTCAAACCCAGCCCCAGCCAAACTGCAACAAAAAATAGCCAGGCGTTGTGGCAGGCGCCTGTAGTCCCAGCTACCTGGGAGGCTGAGGCAGAAGAATCGCCTAAGCCCAGGAGTTGGAGGTTGCTGTGAGCTGTGACTCC